TTTTTTTTTTTTTTTTTTTTTTTTAGTAAAACGTATAGCGATGTGCGGGTACTCGAAGATTAAATAACATAATGGCTTTATTCGAAATAAGTTCGCGTAAAGTTTTTACATGACGCGTGTGTCAGCTCTCTTGATCTTTTGTAAATTAAATATACATGAAAGAATCTTATTCACTGCCCTTATTTTATATAAAATACTGTGGACAAATTTCGAACAACGCGGAAAGCCAATGATTAGAGTTCATCAGGTACTCACATATCGTTCATAATGCAATGTGTTTGTCTTCTTTGAATTAACCCTTTGACTGTGGATTGGTCCAAAAAAAAAAAAAAAAAAAAACGCCTTTAAATAGGCGCTATTCGCAGTTAAAGGGTTAAAGAACAAAAGTATTATGACTCAGAAATATTGAATCAATACGCGCAGTGATACATTGTATATAAATGTTCTCTAAGATGCATGTTTCTATCATACGTTCAATGTAGACCAATCGACGTACGAGTGGAATATTCGTAATTCACTTTCAGCGCATTGAATGTGTGATAAATTATTGGGATGTATAAACCGATAATTTTTAACGAATCGATTTAGGAGCATGTCAAAGAAAATGCTTTACTACGCTCTGTGGTATACGACAGTTTCCATGAAACTATAAGGATATTATTTTTACGAGTTAGAGAAAATTTCAGCGCCTATTCTATGATTGTTAATAATACGACGGAGATTAAAGGGAATGAGAATGTTTCGACTACCTATAAAATTTTTTCCTACTTTTTATGAAATCCGTTATACGAAACAAACGTATTATATAGTAACATATTTTTGGAAATGTTTATTCGTCAGAAATATATATATATATATATCGAGATATTTTCCTTTTTAGGAGATAAATAGTATTATGCGCATAATATGTAGTTTGAAATTTTCACAGACAATAATACACGACTCATTTTTTTTTTTTTTAAATTGATAAAGCATTTTTATTAAATCATTTATTGTACCCTTTTGGGTATATAGGTGACCGAAGGTTTGCAGATTACGTTTACGTAATACTATTTAGAAATAACTTCTAATTTAGAAGTAATTACAACTATGTAGATCTATTGCGACATTTTTTGCAACGACTACAATGTGGTGCCCTGGAAAAGGTAATAAAATTTCTAATGACTATTTATTTTATATGGTAACAGTTATAGTGCAGTGTGTATATGACTTGAAGCGATATTAAATTTAAAATCTATTTATTATTTATTTTTACGTTCTTACTTTGATATCACTATTTAAACCGATTCGTTTTGTACAATGCCTATTTCTTATGATAATTTGTAAAAATATTTCATTATTTATGTGTCGCCCTATATATTTTTATATAAAATCGTTACTTAATTTAATAAAATAAGTCAATCTATCCGATTCGTACCTCTAATGTAAAAAGGTGTAATATATTATTCCGCAGCTAATTTCTATGTTTATGTTTTTGTTAGGTATGATACAAAATTATGTACAATAACAGAAGTATTTTTATGTGAAGTCAATCTTGTAAGCGTACAGAATGCAAATGAGATATTTAATGAAGAAAGATAGTATATTATAGATACAGAATCTTTATTGCGTGAAAAAGCATATTCATATGAAAAAGAATAGTCAATGTACCTCCATTCTATGCCCTAAATTCTATCACAAATTCCTAATCAAATATAATTATGTTAAAAACTTTTCATCTTATTTTAAAATGAAACATCTATGTAATAGTCTTCTCGATCATACAATTCAATTGGAGGTGCAACAATAAACTTACTATTACTTTTAAATAATATTATAAAAGCTAATTATTTTTATATACTGAATATAGAAACGATTAATTGTATGATTTATAATCTTCATTTGTAAATAAATATAATGATAATATTATAATAATTTGAAGTACAACTAATTACCGTTTCAAGCTCCTTCTCAGTTATCTAAATATTCTTTTTAATATACAAATGTGCAAAAAGGTGAGAAACACTTTTAACGTAGTTGAATTAAGTTCACATGAAAATAATTTTGTAAGTCTAACTTTTAAATTAAATTAGATAAATTTCATATTATTTCACGAATAATATCAACCCAGAATAAATAAATAAATTTTATTTTAAGTTATTTAGCAAATAAAATGTATTATCATTGATTAACTAGGATAGACCAGACAATGTTTTTTCGTGTTTCCACGTTTTGGGGATCATCTGATCCTCGTACCACAGGTATACCTCGTCCGTGCTAGCGCATTCACTGATTCCCCAACTCACCGTTGTTTAAACGTAGAGTGCGCTAAAAACCAGTGATTTTTTAATATGTCGGTATTTCAGGTCACGGGCCATGAAAGTCCGTATGATGCAATGTCTATTCCTCGTCTGTGTTTTAGTCAGTGGTCATTTACATATATCATTTACCTTCGAACACATATCGTGTTCCAAATTACGAAAGTTTTGTTACAAAAAAGAATCTTACTTTACTTGAGAAAAAAAAGAGCTGCCTTCAATATATCTTATCAAATCACGTTGAACAAAAATATTATTAAAAAAAAGTATTTAAAATGCATTTTATTATGACAAACTACGAATAAAACTTTGTATTATCATTTTTTTAAAATTCATTTTTTTCTTGATCTATTTATCCTGACTTCCATTCTCCTTTTTTGTCACAAAATTGAACGAAAAGAGAACGAAATAAGATCAAGAAATAACTACAGTTAGAATATTATTACTTAATTTATATATCAAAACCACAAAAGTTTACAATAACAAATATATAATAAAATCCTACTTTCGATCTCTTTTCGTGCTGTACATTTCACGACGTCGACCTATAGGCAGCGTTTCGGTGCGTCGTGCCATACTTGGAAACGGGCAACGATTGGCCGCATTCGGAACTCCTTGACCAATTAGTGTTCGCCGTATTACCAACCCGCATTAAAGCTGCTATCCATGAGAGTAATACGGTCTCATGCGATATGTACCGAAATCCCCGCACCTGTTCAGTTCGGGTCGTAGTGAAAAGAGATAAACAATATATTTCTCGAAGCTAGGGTTCTTGCAAACAATGCACTTGCCCAAACTGGTGGTTCATCTTCGGAACTGCGGCGCCCACGGGAAATTTTTTATCAGACTGTATACCGTGACGAACACCAACGAATAAGGCACAACGCGCTATGCCTGTGCCCGAGAGCTTCCTCAGATAGGATTGAAGTCGTAGCGCAGCTGCAGCGAGGGGGGTAATTGCCGTTCGTTCGAGAATTGTCGTGTGACCGAGCGTGCTCCTAATATCGTCACGTCAATGCACCCGAGTGTTAATTTTAATTTCTATCGAGGAATTACATAATGTACGTGCATGAGTCACAAGGTGCATAAGGGGGGGGACGTGCAAACGTCAAAATCGCGCTACGATTTTCTGGTATTTCAGGTATGGTAAACAAATAATGATCGCCCGATTAATTGCCCGATCTAAATCAAGTCCCTCGCGTAACAACAATCGCGTAACGTTGGATCGGTGATCGTCGCTTGATACGTAACATTATCAACTGCTATTGTGCTCCAACCGTCGATCGTGCGACGTGCTGCCATTAGAATCTCTATGGCGAGTACGTTCTCGTTCTAGAGCATGCAAGAGGCTATTATAAATCGTAACTTGGAAATGCAGTAGAGGTGGTCGCTACCGGTTGTCGTGCAACGTAATCGACCTTACCGAAACCGACTATCCTCGTGACGATATTCCTTAAAGGTTTTTGCAATTCACGTTCGTCCAGCTATGACAGTATACCGTGTAGCAACATGTTCCTCAAGGTTAAATGACTAATGGATAAAAGCAATTGAAATAATCCAGTCTCCGTGCAG